TCCAATTTACAGCCTCTGAAAGCCCACTGAAGGGTCAGCTATGACTCAGTGCTGACTCAGTAGCACTTAACAGCAGCATATTCAGCACCCTTGGAAACAGCAGTGAAGAAATCAATGGATATGTTGCATTGGGGAAATCTGTTGTCAAAGTTCTCTTTGAAGTACTAAAGAGCAAAGATGTCAGTTTAAAGACTAAAGTATACCTGATGCAAGCACAGTATTTTCAAGTGTTTCCTATGCATTTGAAAGTTGAACAATGCTTAATCAGGAAAATTAAGAACTGATACCTTTGAATTGTGGTGTTGGAGACTGTGGGTATGACACCAGCCCATCATGTTGTTACTGTTGTTGTGTGTCGTTGAGTTGAAACCGACCCATATCTGACTCTCCAGCTGGTTCTTAGAGGCAGTAAATTACATGGGAGGAGATTGTCCATCCTTCTCTGGCAGAGCACCTGGTGCATTCAAACCACATACCTTTGGGATTGCAACACAACTTCTTACCACCAGGCCATCAGAGTTCCTTGGTGTTAGAGAAAGGTACTGGATAGACTGTGGACTGAAAACACACACACACACACACACAACAAACAAGCAAACAAAAACACCAACCAAAAATCCCAAACAAATCTGTCTTGGAGGAAATACAACTAGGGTGCTCCTTTGAAACAAAGATGGTGAAACTTTGACTCACATGCTTTCAGCATGTTGTCAAGAGAGGCCAGTTGTTGGGAAAAGACATCATACTTGGAAAGGTAGCAGGTCAGCAAAAGACGTCAGAGACTTAAGGCAAGTCATGCAGTACCTCTTTGACTCAGGTTCCCGTAAATGGAGAGATTGCTCCCAGCTTGATCTCTTTCTCCTTTTAGGAACAAGGAAAGTCCATGTCAGTGGTTCATAATTAGAGTGCCCACATAATTTATCATTCAAACAAGGACATATCTGAGAGTGAAGGCAAGTTCTACAAATAACTATGCCAGGGAAACAAGCATAAACTAGGACTGTCTTGAATGAATCTGAACATGTGGTCATTTTATCAATAAAGGTTTGTGGCTCGGAGATGAGGAGGGGTGCTAAGACTCTCAAATCTTTTTAAAGGTTTACATTCAAACCAGGCAGAGTGAGTAATAGTGCCCAGTCTCTTGAAAAAATTCTATTCCCTTCAGCTGCTCAGTGTCTTCTGTCCCAAAGATGAAATACTATTTGCTGGAGGAGCCAAGGTGGAGCTATGGGCTAAGCCTTGAACTGTTAACCCAAGGCTGATGGTTGGAACCACCCCATGGGTGAAAGATGTTCTCTGCTCCTGTAAAGACTCACCACCTTGGAAATCCTACGCAGCAGTTCTACTCTGTTCTAGAGTATCTCCAAAAGTTGGAGTCAATTAATTGACAGTGAATTAGGTCATGGAAATTTAGAGCACTGCCAATAAGAGGAACATTGTTTCTATTTCTTTTTAATTTTTCTAGTTTATGCAACTTACTTTGGACAAGTTGCAAGGAGGGACCAGTCCTTGGAGAGGGAAGTTATGCTTGGGGGGACAGCACAGGAGAGGAAGACCCTCAATGAGATGGATTGTTTCAGTGACTGGGGTAATGGGGGTAGGTATGTCAGAGACAATAAGATTGACACAGGATAGAGCAGGGTTTAGGGCTGTTGTACGTAGGGTCACTATGAGTCCCAGGCAAATCGACAGCACATAACAATAACAACAACAACAATTTATTCACATCGTAAGTGGAGCTGCTATGCTGCTCAATTACAAGGATTGAAGAAGGAAGTGTGAACAAGAGCCCCTCTTCCCCACTGCCAATGCCACTTTGTGTGTCTCAGAGTTGAGCTACTCCACAGGGTTGTCAATGGCTATACTCTTAGTGAAATAGATCACCAGGACTTCTGTGATTCCACTGATTGGATTCTAACAATCTTTTGAGTAGTAGCCAAATGCAAGCTATCTAGTTATAAAATTTAGAAAAATAGAGAGGAAAAGAAAATTTAACCATAGTCCCTGAACTCTAACTACTACTACACAAATGACTTTCCTTCCAATATTGTTTTTAACTATATATTCATATTTTTCTTTTTCTGATATTAATTCAGGACTGTTTTAGGAAGAACGGTTTAATAGTTTTTCATTCATTTTTGTTCATTTTTAAATTACTGAGTTGCATTTTAATAGCTTTGCAAGTACTTATATTTCTCTGATCTTTTTCATGGTCTCAGAATTATAGTAATCTAGTAACAAAAAGAAGACTAAATAAATATTACAGTGATGTATTGATGTATTAAAGATTAGCTTTCTCATTTTATTTCATATAATTGCCCAAATCTCTTTCAGACCAGAACCTAACATTTCTGATCTGGTCTTAGGGACCTATAGATTAATGACTGGCATATTTAATGGTGGAGAATTTATACTTACTGTGCCTCCCCTATCCAAGAGATAGTTCATTCATGTGTTTGGTTTCCATTAACAGCCTACAAATTGGACTCTATCTTCATAATATCTCTAAAATGGCTTCAGGAAATATGATCAGATTCTCTATGTTGACAAATTCAGCCAGTCTTACTCATTGTCTTCTTTCACCCTTTAAGCAACATTTGACATCCTTGCTCATTCTTTTCTTCTTGAAATGCATTCTTCTTTGGTTTCCATAACACTTCACTTTCCTGATTATGCTTTCTCAGTCTTCTTTGCTGGTTTCAGCTTCTTTATTCAACTTCAGAACACAGCCCAGAGTTTTCTCTATCCAAATTCTCCTCCTAACTGGTCACATTCAGTCCCATGGCATTACATGCCATTTACCAACTGATGATTCTCCCATTCATATCTTCTAAGTTTCCTACTAGACCCCATGGTCTACTTAACATATTCTTTTGGATGTCTTACAGACATTTTAACTTGGAATAGCCAAAACCACCAAAAAATTTCTAGTCCTTTTCCCTGACCAAAACGATATTTTTCTCATTCTCCTTCATTTCAAAGGTGACACTCAATAAACTTACTTGCTCAAGTCAAATCTCTAGGTTTCATTCTCAATCTCTCCTTTTTATTATCCTTTATACCCAATCTATCACCAATTCTGTTGATTCCCTTCTAAAAATATCTTCAATCAGTCCACTTCTCTCCATCTCTACTTTTGTCATTGCAATCTAGTCTTCCAGCATTTCCTACCTGGTCCAGTACGCTAACATACTAATCAGTATATTCATTTTCACTTTTGTCACATTGTATTGTCCAAAATAGTAATATATTTAAAATACAAGTTAGGACATTAAAAATATCCTTAAACTCCTCAAGCTGCTTCCTATACACTTAGAATAAATTAAAACTTTTTATCATAACCTGAAAGTCCTTTCAGGATCTACCTTTATCCAATAAACTACAGGGAAAAATATTTTCATTGTGCATTGCTAAGGATTGGTATCCTTGACATATAAAAAAAATTAAAAAATAAATAATAAAAGGGATAAACGTTCAGGGAAGGAAAATGGACAAATTATACATATAAGCAGTGTACAAAATAATAACCCAGCTGGTAGTAAAGGATAGCTTTGGTCCACAGGGACTTGTGCTATTAACCCAAAGGTAGTGCCTCTCTGGCAGTTCAAATCCACCAGCAGCAGGAAAAAGACATGCAGCCTCTTTCTGTGTGATTTAGAGGCTCTGAAAACCCTCTGCAGAGTCTCCATGAGTTGATTCTGATTCAATGGCCATGAGTTGAGTTTGAATTGACTTTTTTTTTCTATAATTATATTTTATTAATTTTCATAAACATTTACAGAGATTTTGGGTTTCCATTCATTCATTGTTGCACTATTGAATTGACTTTTAAATATATATAAGAAAACAAAACATATTCGATATCATTAGCAAGAGTGAAAGGTATAAGATAACAGATTTTTTTGTCACTGGATTAATAGCAAAATATTAAAGATCTAGTGATAAAATGCAAGTATGGAGAACTAAGAAGCTCTATATACTGTCTGTGAGAGAATAAACTTTCCAAAGGACAGTTTGATTAAATAATATATTATTTAATCCATTTATATACACTTATGGTGAAAGAAGAACCAGACAAGAATACAATGAATAGTTTACAACAAGGTTTTTAATTACAGCATTGTTTGGGAAAATTCAAAGCTCAACTAAATGCTCCACAATAAAGAATTGATATAGTATACCCATAGTATATTACTAAATACCATGAAAAATTATGATAGATCATGAACACTGTATTAGAATAGATGATGAGAAGGTCTATCTGAAATGATGGATGATCAAATACTATGTTTATTATGATTAACAATAAGGAACGGGACATGCACTACAAATTGGATAAGGTGTGGGAGAAGTTATTAAAAGTGTGGAAAATTTGAAAAATAAGAATAATGAAGTTGGATTCTTAGGAAAATATCCATATTATATTGTAAGATGAAAAAGGTTCTTTTCAAAGTCATATACAGAAAAATATTCATTTGTGTAAAGAAACAATATATCTAAGTATAGGCACATACATATGAAAAAGATCCGAAAACAGTTATATCCAAATAGAATCACATCCCTCTAAAAGATTCTTATTTTGAAAAATGCTTATACTTAAAAGGAGACGCCCCCCAGAAGAGGTTATATGAGGTTCATTTTCACCATTATTGAAGTTTACAGTAAACTGCTGAAGAATGACTTGCTATCTCGCTCAGTCACATTAGAAATCTGTTGTCAGGTGCTGTCAGTTGGCTTCCAATTTAATCACAGAGACCTTATAACCAAATGAGAAGCTGCCTAGTCCTGTACCATCTTCACAATCATTGCTATGTGTGAGCCCAATGTGGCAGCCCTGGTGTCCCCTTTTATCCATATTACCATCAATAAAACAGACTGGTAGAGCTGAGCTCTTGTCATGCTAATGATGTGTTTTTATCAGATAAAGTCTGTACATTTCAGAAAGATGATGCCAGTGGTAACAGATCTCCCTTCTCTCTCCCACTCTTGTTTGTGTGCAGTGATTCCAGTCAGCTACAACAGCTTCACAACCAAGTCCTATTGGAACAACAGCAATTGCAAAGTCCAACTGCCTCCTCTCCTAAGGAATTCCCTTTTAACATGAGTGTTTTGAACTCGACTGCTGCCCCGACAGTGACAATGTCCAGCAAGCTGGTGAAAGCTCCCTCATCACAGACGTTCAGCCTGGCCCGGCCAAAGCAGTTCTTCCCCTCCACGAATGTCACTGTAGCCAGCATGTCACCCTCGAGCTCCCCAGTGTTTACCCTGAGCAGCACACCTCAAGCCATTCAGAGGACAGTGAGCAAAGAAAGCCTCTTAGTTTCTCACCCCTCCATGCAAAACAAATCTCCAGCAGGGATTTCTACCCCAAGCGAGCCACCCCCTCCTGGTCCATCAGAACCAGCACAGCCTCCACTCACATTTTCCATCTCCAGTGGAAACCAGTTTCAACCCCACTGCGTGTCCCCAACTCCTGTCTCCCCCACCAGCCGGATCCAGAACCCAGTGGCTTTCCTCAGCTCTGTTCTGCCTTCTCTTCCTGCCATCCCACCCACCAATGCCATGGGGCTTCCCAAAAGTGCACCTTCTGTGTAAGTGTCATTGAGGCTTTTTGATGGGGGTGAAGGCAGTTGAGAGGGAATATTCAGAACTGATTGGTCTAGGATAGAAATTTCATTCAGTGCATTCCTAAATAATGTTATCTCCTGGACATAAAATGAGTAGTAAGTACCTTAGAACAAAAAGCATGATTGCTTTAAGTAATTGAATGAATATTGTTATTAGTTGTCATCCAATGAGCTCATGGCAACCTTATAGATAACAGATGAACACGTTCTCTAACCTTGCACCATCTTCATGATCTGTGTTAATAGGTTTGACTCCACATTGTGACTTTATGTCAATCCATCTTGTTGATGGTTTGTCTCTTTTTTACTGACCCTTTACTTGAACATAGAGATGTTGAAGTCACCTATAAAAATGGAATTTCTCTCTATAGTACTAAACTTTGGAACATAAGATGACCCACCTAGAAGTGTCTAATAAATCAGGTGTCTGGTTATCATTTCAACAACTCTGATTTCTAAGCCTTTATATTTATGACAACCAGTGCTTTTCATGAGTATATATCGTATTAATTTCTTTTATAGACCATCACAAGGACTGATGAGGAAAAATGCAAAAGCTCAATCAGTAAACAATGATCACATTCGGGAGGCTAAGAACGCAGTGATTCTAGACTTGGGGAAGAAAATTCATTTCAGTGATACCAGATCAAACCAGCAGGTAAGATTATTAGACTCAGATAACTTATTGATATCTTTTTTTAAAAAGTCTTATTTTATTATTTTGTGTGTGTACCTTCAAATCGGATGCGACTAGTACAGGAGGAGATTGCCCCTCCTTCTCCAGCAGAGCATCTGGTGGATTCAAACCATGTACCTCTGGGATTGCAGTTCAGCTTCTTGCCACTAGGCCATCAGAGCTCCCCTAGATAGCTTATTGATATCTTAATCAGATAGTTCATTGGTGTCTTAAGGAACAAAACTAGAGAAGCATGTGTAAATATATAGAGAGAGATGTTGTTGTTGTTGTTATGTGCCGTCGAGTCGTTTGCAACGTATAGTGACCCTATGTACAACAGCCCTAAACCCTGCTCTATCCTGTGCCAAACTCATTGCCTCCGACACACCCATCCCGATTACCCCAGTCACTGAATCAATCCACCTCATAAAGGGTCTTCCCCTCCTGCACTGTCCCTCCACTCTGCCCAGCATGATGTCCCTCTCCAAAGACCTGTCTCTTCTTACAACATGTCCAAAGTATGTCAGGTGAAGCCCCAGAATCCTTGCCTCCAAGGAGTAGCCTGGTTTAACCCTCTCTAGGATGAATCTATTTGTTTTCTTGGCAGTCCATGGTACAGTCAGTACTCTTCTCCAGCACCACAGCTCAAAGGTGTCAATTCTCCTTCTATCCTCACTAGTCATTGTCCAACTCTTTGATGCATAACAAGTGATTGCAAAAACCATGGCCTGTATCAGGCGGACCTTAGTCTCCAGAGAGACACCGTTGCTCTTGAGTACTTTAGAGAGGTCCCTAACAGCAGACTTTCCCATCACAATACGTTTGTTGACCGTGGAGCTGAGCAAACTGAAGCTGTGAACAATCTCAATCTCTTCACCATCCATCCTGATGCTACCGATTGATCCAGTGGTGAGAATTTTTGTCTTCTGGACATTGAGCCTCAGTCTATATTGAAGGCTGCAGTCCTTGACCCTCTGCAGTAAGTGCATGAAGTCCTCCTCAGTTTCAGCAAGCAGGGTTGTGTCATCTGCATAACGCAGATTGTTGATAGATCATCCACCAATCCTAACGCCACGCTTCTCCTCATAGAGCCCAGCTTCTCGGATAATCTGCTCTGCATACATGTTGAAAAGGTATGGAGACAGGAAACATCCCTGGCATACACCCTTCCCAATTTTGAACCATGCAGTGTTGCCCTACTCTGTTCTGACTACTGCCTCTTGGTCCAAGTATAGGTTTCGCATTAGCACGATTAAATGTTCTGGGATTCCCATTCTTCTTAGAGTCAGCCACAGTTTGTTATGATCCATGCAGTCAAATGCCTTTGCATAATCAATGAAACACAGATAGACATTCTTCTGGTATTCTCTGCTTTCAGCTAAGATCCATCTAACATCAGCAACAATATCCCTAGTACAACAACCCCTTCTAAACCCAGCCTGGACTTCTACTTAAATAACTCACAGAATTGTAGGGGCCTGGTGAGTGCCAAAACTGTGGTTCATGCAATAGATTAGTGCCCTCTGCTGGCTCACATAGTTTCAGAGGTGGCACATCTAAAATCTGCAGGCCAGAAAACAGGCTAGAGGCCTCTACTAGCTCGCATCACAAGCAGTCAGATAAAGGCTTTAGAGAAAGCAAGAGAACTTTGCCAGGACATCCATTTATATCTTGGTTGCAGGCCACACCTCCTAGGAAACTCTTCTTGCATCTGATCGGTTGTTCACATCAGATCACAAAATGAGATGCGATTGCATGGTATCTGCCAAACTACTAAGAATCCAAGCATAGCTAAACTAAATTGTATCATAGCCATCATAATTGATGATTTTATTCATCAGACCTCCAGTGAGGTATAGAATTGTGTCCAACTATTAAATATAAAGATGACTTCATCTCAATGAGATTCATGTCAGTGTGGAAAAATGTAACACTGATTCTGTATGAGTCATGAGACTTTATCCACATCAATGTGCAGTTCTTGACAATTGTTAGTATGTGCTGTCGAATCAGCTACAATTCATAATGACCCAATGAACAACAGATCAAAACCTTAATCTGTCTGTGCCATCCTCACAGTCTCTACCATGTCCAACCAAACCCATTGTTGCAGTCACAGTGTCAATTCAAGTTGTTGAGGATCTTCTTCTCATTCACTGACTCTCTGTCCAAGTATGATTTACCATCCCCGCCATGGGCTCACACCTCCTGACAACATGCCCAAGTTAAATGCTATTTCTCTATCTTTCTCTCTAAAAAGCATCCTGTTTGTACTTTCTCCAAGACAAATTTGCTTGTTGTTTGAGAAGTCAGATTTGTTTGTTCTTTTGGAATTCTATAGTATATTCACAGGAGAAAGATGAGTAGTCTCCTTCCATGTAATTAATGACCTCTGTAAACCAGGTGGAGGGTCAGCTATGGGTTGGTTCCAAATCGATTACACAACAGAGTGTATTCAGTGCTTTTTGCCAACACAATTCACAGGCATCCATTCTTCTTCATTCTTCCTTAGTCATTTTCCATATTTCACATGTATATGAAGTAACTGAAAATACCATGGCTTGGGTCAAGCACACTTCAATCTTTAAAATGACATCCTGGCACCAGTGGTTAATTCCATTTGTTTACAGATGAAAGTGTTTGCCTAGAAGAGTAAAATTAAATAAGGAGGGAATCTGGATGGTTTGTTGTCCATTCTGCCAATCCTCAGCTCAGTTTTGGCAAGTTATCATTGAGAATTTTGATATCTGAGCCTTGAGACAATCTAGACTTTCAAGGAAATCTAGGTTTGTAAGACATCTTTTATTGGAATCCTTTCCATTTAAGAGTTTTTATTTTAAATTCTTCAACCTGCTCACCAACTTTACCTAATCTTCACATTAGGTTGACTGATGTTAAGTAATTGATAGGAATTAGCCCGTATTTCAATTTGTACATCTCCTTCTCTCCAGTAATGTGTCTGCATGTCATTCAAGAAAAAAGAAAGATATGCTGAGTATTTTCATATTTGAGCCACTTAATTTTGTCCTTGATGGGTTTTTTAAAAAATGTAGGTTTACATTTTAATTTTCTAACTCTCGATTTATTTCCTGAAATGGGAACTTGTAAAATCTGTTATGAAATCTAGCATAAAGCTTCAATTAAAACAAAATACTGTGGAATTTATGACATAAGTGATCACAGTGAACAAGACTCCAGATTTCCCTGGCCGTATGCTCTTCTCTTTAATGTTTCTGTCCCTTACAGCTCTGGAGATGCAGACAGATAATGTTTTGCAATAGTGTCATATGTTAGTTTTTACTGAAGGAATTCTCTTGACAATGTGCTGCCTAAAGCCTTTTAAAAATTTTCTTTTTAAATTTGTTCAGGTAGTTCAGATTAAATCAAGACACTTTAACTTGTTATAACAGAATATGAATTTCATGTATTATTTCACCAAGTTATTTACACGCATGCTGGTAGCACAGTGGTTAGAGTGCTGAGAAACTAACTGAAAAGTCAGAGACTCAAACTCACCATGTGCACCACAGGAGAAAGATGTGGCAATTTATTCCCATTAAGATGACACCCATGGAAATCCTGAGTCAGAATTAATTAAATGGCATTGGGTTTAGTTTGGATTTTGAGGGTGTGTGTGTGTGTGTGTGTGTGTGTGTGTGTAGTTGTTGTGTACCATCGAGTCAGAATTGATTCATAGTTGACCATTCAGAGGGTTTTCAGAAGTAGTAAATTGCCTGGGAGGAGATTGCCCATCTTTCTCCAGTAGAGCAGCTAGTGGATTCGAACTGGAAGCCTTTGTGTTGGCAGCACAACTTCTTAATTCCTTATCTTCTTAGCACTAATCCACTAGATGATAGATAGATAGATAGATAGATAGATAGATAGATAGATAGATGATAGACTACAATGTGAAAGCTCAGCGATTTGAACCTACCAACTGTTCTATGAGAGAAAGATGGAGAGCCTTATCCTATAAAGATTTACCACCTCAGAAACACAGTAGAGGGTCACTATGAGTCAGACTTGATGGCATTGAGTATTATATAGATAGATGCTGTCATTTCACAATTGGATAGTCAACACTTCTTACCAGTCTGTCTTAGTCTAGAAATACCATTGAAACCTGACCACCATATTTAAAATATCAGTAATGTAGCTTTCAGCATTACAGCAAAATACAAGCTATCAGTACAATAAACCAATGAATGAGTAATAGTGTAGCCTGTGCACTCAGAGCCTGTATATAGACCAAGAAGCAATCAATCAAACAGAACAAGGGGATACTGCTTGGTTTGAAATCAGAAAAAGTGTGCATCAGGGTTGTATCCTTTGTCCATTTTCATATCTTTTCATCAAACCAACACAATTTGTATGCTGACAAATAATCTGAGAAACGGGACTATATGAAAAAGAATGTGACAGCAAGATTGGAAGGAGACACATCAACAACTTGCAGTATACAAGAGATTGACGTTACTAATAATTTAATTTTACTTGGATCTACAATCAACACCCATGGATTTTTGTTGTTGTTGTTGTTGTTGTTGTTGTTGTTGTCATTAAATGCTGTTGTGTTAGCGCCAACTCATAATGACATACAACAGAATGAAACCCCGCCCTATCCTGTGCCATCCTAACAATAACTGTTGTGTTTAAGCTCATTGGGCAGTCACTGTGTCAATCCATTCTCTTGAGGATCTTTCTCTTTTTCACTGGCCTTCTGCTTTTCCAAGCATGATGTCCTTCTCCAGAGACCGGCCTCTCCTGAAAACATGTTCAAAGTATGTGAGAAGCAGCGGTCAAAAAGCCAAATGACATCTTGCATTGGGCAAATCTGCTACCTAATACCTCTTTAAAGTGCTAAAGAATACAGATGTCACTTTGAAGACTAAATTGCACCTGACACAAGCCGTGGTGTTTTCACTTTCTTCCTGTGCATGTGAAAATTGAGTCATGAAATAGAAAGACAAAAGAAGAACTGA